TAGAAGGGAATGAGGTTGGCAGAGAGGAGGAGAAAGAGGACTATGAGGTCGTTGGGTGCTTTCTGTGCTTGTGCTTTTCTTGCAGACAGTTCATTACCTAACTGGTTAACATCATCAGTAATTATCAGCACTGAAGACGTTATCTAGTTTGGTAATGAAAGGTTTGCAAGAATACCACCAAGCTCAGAGCGCACTGAGGACCTCACCCTTCCACTTCCTCCTACGAGGCTACTTAGAACTTGCCCTTAATAGAAAGGTTCTCAGTTCAACTTGCAGATACACAAAGGTGAAAATGGTCTATCAAATCTGCTTTATGGTTACGTCCCAAGCTGGAGGGGAAAGATTACACTTTGAAACGCTTTCTCCCTGGTTGCCTAGAAGTTACTTTCCACTCATCACGGACAACTGGGCACAGGATGTTACACAAGGCTGAGTAACCTATGTGTAATGTTGAGTCGCCTTTACAAATTTCTATTGGGACTGAATCTGTTTGTGAGAGCAGAGAAGATTTCATTAATGGGATCTGTGTGTGTGTGTGTTTGAATGTGTGGCTGAGTGTGTGTAGTTGTGCCAACATTCCTCCTCTGCTCATCGGCCCCCGGCGACACCGGTGCTGTTCTCACCTTGGGATCACCATGGAAGATGACCTGCCCCATGAAGTCGGTGTAGAAGACGGCTTCAGCAATGATGGAAAACCAGGTCAAGAGGTGACAAACGCAAAGCCGCAGCAGCTCTTTGGGCATCTTCAGCATGGACAACCACAAGAGTCTCACGGTGGTCTCCGTTTCGCCTTCCTCGCTTTCCGTGTCTCCGCTGGAATTGGTGGCGCCGCTCGGGTTCCGGTGCCTGTACCTCTGCCGCTGCCTCTTCTGCATGTCGTAGATGTCGTTCATGCTCCGAGAGGACTTGATCAAGACTACCGCGTTGGCCCGCCGGAAGCGGTAGTGGTGGGACCCGATCTTCCCATAGTAGGAGAAGGTGTTCGAAGGCTGGCGGTAGAACATGTGTCTCCGCCGGCGCATGGAGCTTGAGGTGCACGACTGCTTCATGCCCACCTGGATGTGCCCATTCAGGAGATCTTTTGGTAGGGAGCCGTTCCCGTTGGGGACTTTGGCCTCGTTCAAGTGGTTCTCAAGTAACACTTCGTCCTCCTTCTCGTTCTCCCTGAGGAAAGCGGACAAGCGGTTGAATTTGGATTTCATGAGTTCTTGGCTGGTGCTGCGCGGCGTCGCCGGGGAGGACGAATCCTGGAAAATGGAAGGCTCGATCTCGTGAAGGAAAAGCAGCTCTGATTCCATATCGAGGGTGGCGTCCGGCATGTGCAGGACCGAATCGCTCTTACTCCTGACAATGTCCACCTCCAGGAACTCCAGGTTGAGGTCTTGTTCGGACTGGACCTCGTCTGGGAAGAGGGAGTTCCCGTAAGGATCCTCCTCATTGATGACGTTGAGCCGGTTGAAGGGAGGGAGGCTGCCGCTCATCTTGACGCTCGAGAGGGTCTCCGCTTCATCGTCGATCCGGTCCTGCTGAGGGTTGTATTGCTCTTCTTCGATGCTGCATAGGTGGAGGACAACGGAAACAGAGAAGATAATGGCGGCAAAGAAGAAGAGGACTTGCTCCTGGGATTTGAAGAGGCTGCCTAAGATGGTCTGCATCCAGTTGAGGCCGCCCAGCATGTAGCCAATGGCTCCTCCCAGGCCTACGGACAAAGAGAAGATCAAAGGTACAAAATGGCCGCTCTGTTGAAAGATGGGAAGAACCGCACAGGTGGGAACAAGCTCCTCCCTCAAAGAGTTGCGGATTGTGGGGGGGAAAAGAAGAAGAAAGTTCACTGAGGAACGTCAAAGGATTTTCACCTGGACTTTCCTTGTGTCCAGAGTTGTGGATCTGAACATTGTAAGCATTACCGTATTTTTCGCACTATAAGATGCACTCCCTCCCCCCCAACAAAAGTGGGTGGAAATGTCTGTGCGTCTTATAAAGCGAATGTTGCCGAAGCCCCGCCCACCCACTGGCCCACCACCCTTTGGCCTCTGCCTCCGAGCAATTTGCCTCCTTGCAGCAAACAGCCTGGTCAGCTTCAACACAGCCTGATTTAGCACGAGCAGCTGATGGGCGGTTGGATGGCCACCCGGAATACCGCCCATCAGCTGTTCTAGGCTGCGGGGATCACCCACACCCATCGGTGACGCCTATCACTGTCTCTGCGCGCCCGATTTTTGGCTTCTGCGCATCCCATTTTCGGCCTCCATGCGCCCCGTTTTCGGCCTCAGTGCATCCCGTTTTCGGCCCATTCCAGGTGGCGGCGATCCCCGCTGCCTGGAACAGGCCGAAAAAGGGATGTGTGGAGGCCAAAAACGGGTGGTGGCATGGAGTTGGCGATAGGCGGCGGTGATAGGCGGCGGCGATGCCCGCAATCTGGAACAGCAGTATTCCAGGAGGCGGATCCAACCGCCAGTCAGCTGCTCGTGCTAAATCAGGGTGTGCTGAAGCTGAGGTAAATTGCTTGGAAGCAGAGGCAAAAAATTTTTTTTCTTGTTTTCCTCCCCAAAAGCTAGGTGCATCTTATACTTCGGAGCGTCTTATACTCCAAAAAATACAGTAATAAAGGAGAATATTTGTAGCTCAGAGTGGAAACCAGGGGTCCTTGGCGCTCTCTGAGCTTGGTTGTTTTCTTGCAGGCATTTCATGACCCAACTAGGTAACATTATCAGTGCTAGGAGGGAGGGGGGTTTGTGGAGCGGAGGAGGAGGAGGACTGTGAGCTCCTTGGTGCTCTCTGAGCTTGGTTGTTTTCTTGCAGACGTTCTGCTACCAAACTAGGTAATATCATCAGCAGGCCAGTGCTCAGAGAATACCAAGGATCCCTTACCGTGAGCAATACCACCCTTCTCCCAATTAGGTGATGCTACCATGATGACTACTATGACTACTACCAGTACATCCAGGAGGCCCAACCAGCATGGAATTTGTAGTTCCTCTACTTGGGAAAAGCTGCAATGGGTTATTCATGCTATGGTCCATGGTTTAGTCCAGGGGTCTTGAAATCTGGACTTTCAACTCCCAGAATTCCCCAGCCAGCTGTAGTGACTGAGGAATGCTGGGAGTTGAAAGTCCACAAGTCTTAAAGTTGCCAAGTTGGAGACCCCTGCCCTGATTGAAGCATCTTTTTTTTGGGGGGGGAGAACACAACAGCGATGCTTGTATAATTTGGAGTCACGTGCAGATGAAGTCTGGGAAGAAAAAGAAAATTCAAGATGGCTGGCTGAGGAATGCTGGGAGTTGAAGTCCACAAGCCTTAAAGTTGCCAAGTTTGGAGACCCCTGGTTTTACTTCCCTGATTTCTGTCAATGATCAGAAGGTCTTTCTTCTAACCGTCTCATAGCCGTAACCGTGTTTAGTTGGGAGGGGGACAGGATCGTCACCCCAGAGCCAACTGCAAACCTGCGGGGATTTGAGCCCTGACTTGGTTGCTGTTAGGCACACATGCTTCAACTACACACCACCAATAAACATTTCTCCAGTTGCTTCAATCTTCGGCCTGTTGCCATCCAGCTGCAAGATTAGGCTGCAGCCTCCGGGGACTTCTCCACTAGTCTTAAAGCTTTTAAAAGAGAATGCAACCGATGGAGGCGATTTCTTTTAAGTGTGTTTGTAAAGTGTTAGGAACTCCTTCTCTCTTGCTAAGATTCCACTTTCAAGCATAACATTCCCAAGCAAGGAGGAGGTGATGACTACTATTACTATCATTGTTGCTGTTGACTTGATCTTCAATTCGATTCATAGTCTGGGACTGGTAAAAACTTCACAGTTCCAGGACCTCAGTGCTGTTGAGGTAGCGTCTCTGTCAGGGGTGTCAAACGCGATTTCCTTGAGGGCCGCATCAGGGTTGTGTTTGACCTTGAGGAAGGCGGCGTGACCGGGACGGGGTGGGTGTGGCCCTCTGCTACCGAAAACGGAGCTTGTGGGGGTGCTGCACACATCTCCCCCTCCCCCCAGCTCCATTTTCGCTGGCAGAGAGCTGCAGGTGGCTGTCCCAGCCGAAAACGGTGCCCGGGAGGGTCGTGAGCAGCTCTCACCAGCTCTGTTTTCACTGGCACAGGAATTGCAGGTTGGTTCTCCACTATATTTCCCATGGTGGCCCAAGGGCCAGATCCTGCAGGCCAGTTTGATACAACTGGTCTAAGTGATATAGGAAGTTACGAATAAGGTGGGGTGTTTTTTTTTTTTTTTGTAAAGTCAGGATATTCAGGTCTAATAAGTTCAAAATTTCCACATAATCTAGGCAGCCCCAAGGGCTCCTATTGGTACAACCATTGATATCTTCCTCCGCAGTCGCCCAACGTCAATTTTCTGTCATTTTTATTATGATTGTGGTTATTGTGTGGCACTGTGACATTAACCAGGAGAACACCACGCCATGCCATAGCAGAGGGATAGTTAGGCTGCCAAGTTACCAGCTGTGTTGTAGGAAATGTCCGCGTGCTTCCCAAGGTGCGCCACAAGGGGGCGTGCTGGCTTTGCACCAGAGAGAAAGGGCAAGCGGGTCTTCCTGCCGCGTCATGCAGGGCTCCTTTCCCTTCTTGGAGCCGCCTTGCAAATGGGTGCCGCGGCCAGGAAAGTTCAAAGCTGGCAGGAATCTTACTGCCTAAACAGAGCACCGATTCATCTCCTCACTGAAGTGGTACCCACGTATCTACTCGCATAGAACGGGCTTTCAAACGGTTAGGTGGACAGAAGCAGAGATGAATGACAGGAACTCACCCCGCCACACTGTGCTAGACTCAAACCGCTGGAGCAGAGACCATCTCCAACATCGTTAAGCCACTGAGCCACCGCGCCTCGTGGAAGAGGTGGTGGTCAAAAAAATGCCAAGAGAAGGATCACCATTTTATTAAGTTGGGAGGATTTATTCAAGTCCGAGCTAGAATCTCACCGCTAGGCTGCACTCAAATAAATCCTACCGCTGTCTACAAAAATCGGTGAACATCCAGAGCAGAAGGGGTATTCAGCAAGTTGATCAGTTCTGGAGAACTGGTAGTGGGAATTTTGAGTAGTTCGGAGAACCGGCAAATCCAACCTCTGACTGGCCCCGCCCCCATCTATTCTCTGCCTCTCGAGTCCCAGCTGATTGGCTGGGTCTTCTTTGGTTGCCCTGCACAGGAGAATGGAGCTGGAAAGCAGGCTAGTGGGGTGGGGAGGGAATGGGGATTTTGCAGTAACCTTCCCCCAGGAGTGTGTGTGTGTGGGAATTTTACAGTGACCTTCCCCTGCTATGCCCGCCAAGCCATGCCCACAGAACCGATAATAAAAAAAAATTGAATCCCACCACTGATCCAGAGGCTGGGTTTAGGAGCAACACAGCTGCTTAGATTAGAGAGGGATAAAACACAGTCTTCAAGAACAGCCTGGAAAGCTGGCTACAAAACAGAAAATCTCAGCAGCATTTTATTTTAAAAAAATAAAATCAAATGTTATTATTAAAGTCTTAAAAATACCCAGGCGGCTTGATAAGATCTATTTTATGGAAGTCTTCAAATCGACAAACAGCCAGAGAACAGAAGGGACTGGTCTGTCCGAATGAGTTTACAAGAGATGCCTTTAAAAGTTTTAAATAAAAATTTTAAAATAAACTTCAGAAGGAAGAAAGAAAAAAAAAAGAAAGAGAAAAAAGAGAAAGAACGAACCAGCCATGAAAAACTCCTCAAGAACTTACTTTACATGACACTTTCCCCACCTTTTATTTACCAAAAATATACTGATACACGGGGAATATTAACTATTATTTCAGTATATTTGTTTATTAATTAAATTGATCATTTAATTATATGGTTGACCAACTCACACAGAGTCCCGAGAGGCAGGTGGAATACAACGTTAGTGATTACATAGTTACTAAAATATATTACATTAAGCTAGAAAGAAGGAAAGAAAAAAAAAAGCCCAAACTTATGCCTCCTGTCTTTGGCTTGGAATGATTTCAGAGGTAACCATGTATTTCCCCCGGGTTTTCACCACAAAGATGTTAGCGACGTTATTCTAAGCGTATAAAACTGCAATGTTACAAGGGGTGTAACGTAAACATCATACCGGCTGAAAAAGCATGGATGTTGAGGGCCATATCCTGCTCTTCGCTGTCCACCACATCCAGCAAATAGGCGCGGATGGGCCCCTCAGTCGCGTCAGCGCAGAAGTCCAGCACCACCACGCCGAGCACGGTGAGGACAATGCCAATGGGCTGCTTGTCTGGGACATCTCCGATAGCAAGGCCTGGAGAAGAAGAGAAGGACTGTGGGTTGCTTCGCGTAAGACAAATTCCAGGAGGGGTAAAGACCTTTTTTGGGGGAAAAAATCAGAGGCAGGGAATGAAGGAAGGAAGAGAGGGAGGGAGGGAAGAAATGATAGAAGTGGAAAGAAAGGGGTGGGTGGATAAGAAAAAGGAAAGCAGGATGGAAGGAAAGAAAAGAAAGGTAAAAAGGAAGGAGATTGGTGGATGGGTAGACGGAATGATGGATGGAGGAGGAAAGAAAGGAAAGAGGAAAGAAAGGAGTGTGGGTAAGAGGGAGGAAGAAAGGGAGGGAAGGAGGGAGGAAATGATAGAAGTGGAAAGAAAGGGGTGAGTGGGTA